CGTGTAGGACTTAACAGTTACCCTGTGCTGGAGAAACCGTACGGTGCACCCCGTCAGGTACCCACTGCCCCCTGGAAGAAGTTCTTCCGTGATTCTGTAATCAGATCTGTTTAAGTTCATGTGTGATTAGACACAAGCACAACCTTTGTCTTGTGTGGCATTTTTCATAAAAGGCTAAGATTAGGTGAAATGCGAATTAACAAATATTCCCTTTTAACTCTTGCCAGATGCTTTATATTCTTCGCTGCCATCTTTTCCCCATCTCGCTCTTCTGCTAGCGATCATACCGCTGCGGTTAGCGCTCCTGTGTTCCGCTGCAGAACATGGTGAAAGAGAGAGGATTAGAAAATGACCACTACCTGCTTACCTCTATTGATCCCCGTTCACAAAACATCACTATTTCACTGTAATGTATGTCGCAGCGCTGTTACTGCTGTTGCCTAGCTGTCCTAGAACAGAATGGCATATGTTTGTGGTACAAGTGCTGTCCTCTTTATAGATACTGTGGCCGTAACCACTGTAAATATCACTGCTGGAGCACTAACAGTGATGAGAAATCGTAGGAAAACTCAGGAGAGACAGCTACATCTTACAACAGTGTTAAGAATGATGGGACCATTTTTAGTGTAAATTGGAGAGTTTTGTGCGAAGGCGTTCACCAGCACAGGATGGGATAAGGTGCTGTGAATGTTGGAACGGGTGTCAATGGTAAACTGAAAGCACAACCCGATTCCCAGGGACCTGAATTGTTTCCTGGGGCTGTCCTTTAATTCTGACTCTGTCAAAGTACAGCTTCTCTCAAATATCCCAATGAATTCAGGACCTTTTAAATTACAGGGCCGTCTGAAGCTTATGTGAACTTTCATGATACTGTTAATACTGAAAAGTGTATTGTAAGTTATAAAGACAAGTTTTACACTCACAGTTCAGGCTCCTCCAGAACTTGACAGCGCAATATTATGGATTACTGCAGAGAACCATGTCCTGTTCTCAGTGACTTTGTTACTACAGGATTGGCTTACTATGCTTCTGATACGCAAGATAAGTGATGTGGGGTTATTTACTTTCTGTGGTACTGCAATGTATAGCCATAAAACCTATCTATAAACCACTTTTTTTCTTTAGTGAGTTTTGTTAAGGTGAGATTAAAAAAACATTTTCTCTGTTGAAATTAAAGGATGTTTCATAATCTGTGAGTCTTCACCCCAAGGACTGGAAAGATGGGTATTTGAGTTACCACTGGAGCACGGTCTAGCACGTATGGCTTGTCAGGCCGGGCATTTCACCACAAAAGCATGGCACAAGCACCGTCGGCCTGCCCAGTCTGTTTCCTTCCCAGTTTACAAGCATTAATAACGTATGGCTCTTGAGCACTTATTCACGAGCAGATGTTAAGGGGGTACCAGCCGGGGTTGTGTTAACAGGGGCAATGCTGTGCATCACCCATTCCCTGCCGTGGATGAAGGTGGGCCAGCTGGGATGGCGTGCTGCTCTCCTGCCCCCTGCTTGCCATAACCCCTTCCTCCCTCCCGCAGCCCTCCTGCCCAGCTTTTCATTCTGTTCGGCATCCGTCTTGTGGTTCTTGCCCTCATGTAGATTTTGGTATGGGGTATGTAGGGTCAGGAAGATTGACCACAGCAGGACCCACTGAGTTTTGGGTACGGCACTGCAGGAGGGTACCAGTGGGAAGCCATGGGAAGGCAGCAGTGAGGAACTCACCCCCAGGGAAGCATTATGTGAGCTGGGAGCATTAGCATAAACTCAGGAAGACTGAGTTGGAGGACTGTTCTTTTCCATGGGAAGATACTGTGAAGAGTAATGAATGACCTTTTCATAAATTGCAGCAAGGAAGCTTCAGGTTAGACATTAGGGGAACTTGTGATGTTAAAGCTAGCTGAGCGCTAAGCAGTAGTTGAGGAGAGCGTGAAATTTTTGGATGTCACTGGAGAGCTTTAAGAATAAGTTAAATTAACTTCTGTTAGGAATTATATCAATATAGTTGATTCTGACTCTGGAAAAGTTGTTTTTCATCTGGTGTTCGAGATGTTTTTGTATCAGTTCAGGAATGCTTGGAGCAAGAAGAATGGAAAACTGATTATTTGTTAGTAACAAACTTTGAGATCTATTCGAAATGTTTCTTAGCAAGACTGGCACCAAGTCTTTGAGACTGCTTAGTGAAGAGGCAGAACAAGAAGATAGGACAACTCAGGAGAATGGATGTACAGAACATGGGAAGTCATCACGAGAAGAATTTGTTGGGTCTGGGGTGTGAGCAGACTGGTCACATGAATGGCAAGAACATGAGTTCTCCATTGCATGTGAACACAAAATTGTAAGGGTTGTGGTGTAGCCGCTGTAGTGGAGTATTAATCGTTGCTCTAAGCTATTGAGCGGCTTTATGAATCTATGCTGGTCAGAGGATGCCCCATGGCCTTGCCTCTGATCAGAGGGAGATGCTGCGGGGACAGGCAGGCGGTGCGGCCGTCGGAGCAAGTAGCCCAGCTCCTTCCTCCCTGCTGCGTGCTTGCGGCTCGGGCTTGTCTGGCTCTTCCTTGCTTGTCGAACCGACAGAAAAACAGTCCATCAAAGAAAAGGGAAAGTTTTCCTGACAATTTAATGAGCTGAATTGGCTCACTGGCTTGGCATAAATGCAAGGGAAGGGTCATGTGCAGGAGAGGGGAGAGCACACGTTCTCTTTTAGCGGCAGGGGCAGCAAGCTGTCTTATTTCTCTGCATGCTATGATCTACTTTTTGTAACTTTGACAGCACGGAAGTGGTCTGCTGAAATATTTTAGTTTCTCAAACACGTAGTATGCTCTTCAAGTGCGAGTTTTAAGTATTTACAGGGATTCATGACTCTGTGTGGATAGTACGTCAACAGAATCGACAGCTGTTGTGAAGAAAATAGTCATCGCATGTATAGCTCTCTTTGTACATTTAGCGCTTAGCCATTGAGCACATCTATCTTGTGCCATGCCCTCCGTTTTCAAAGAAAGCATTTGATTAAAAAAAAAATCGAGGGGGGATTTTCCTTTTTTTCAGCAGTTACAGGCTATCAGTCATTTCCTTTTTCTTGTAATCTCAGTGAGTCACTTTGTAGATGTTGAAAAAAGCTTGCAAAATACTTTCTGAGTAAGGGAATTAAAATTTCATTTGAGGCTTAAAGACTGAAGCAATATTAAGACTGCCTGGAAAATCCATCTTTTGGGCCCTTTGAATTCCCAGAAAACAGAAAAACCTGGGAAGTCATGACACAAGGTTTTAGTAATCTGTTAAGCAGTTTGAGGGCATAAAAGAAGTACAGCTCTGAATGCTAGAAAAAAGAGCTAAAAGTTTGGCAGGTTTTTTTTTTTTTTTTTTTTTAATATACAGAATTCTTAAATCTTGAGAAGAAAATAAGTGGCTTGAGGAAGTTACGGGATGACAGAATAGATTACATCCTATGATTATATTATTAATCTGGTTTATATTTTCAGTAATAGACTTCAGTTCTCTAAGTAAGTTGGTAATTTGCATTTACTTTGAATAGCTAGGATTTAAATTCTGAAGAAAGGTCAGTATAAACACCTGTTTCCTAGAAAGGGCATTGAGAAAGAGATTTCTCTTCAGTCTCAGTGCCCAGAGATTTTTCCTACTGATTTGAGAAATGGGCCTGAAGCGTCAGTGACAAGTCATTCCCAACCAAAAGGTTATATCTGTTAGGTTTTAAGCCATGCTTCTCATGATGTCAGTTTTCTGCTGAATCGGATTTGGATGTGGGGTTTCAGTTTTTGGTAATCCTGACTACCTGTGTATACTGATTAACGCCTGTTGTTTTAAGGAATTTTTTACACTATAGTCACACTTCAGAAGCTCTCTGTTCATGAATCGTGACTATATTGTGCTAAGTACTGTGTATTTCAAGTATTTCCTGCCTGAAAATTTAGTGTTCTGTAAAAATCCCAAACAAAAAGCCTTTTTATGTATTTACATTTTTTAAAATTTATTATAAATTCTGGGCAAGTTCAACTTTCTGTTGAGACATGACTCACTTTTTAGCTGTTAGTTGTGAAACCATGACTCAAACACAGAGCTGAAGAAGACGCTGAAGGTACGGAGAAGTTTTCCAGAGGAAAATGAAACATGATTAGAATAATTGAAGGCTCCCAAAAGGCACATAGGAGCTTAACAGATTTTTTTAAGAGGTGACTCAGGAAAGCACTGTGGCCATCATGACTTTTGGCTATGTCCGGGAGAGGTTTGGCTTTTGTATGTAGGTTTTGTCAGGGCCGAGCCTGGGAAATTTAAGGTCCCAATCTGCAAAAGAGCCCCTGAAATTACAAGGAGAGGACAGAAGGAGCGAGTCGATAAATTACAGCAATTAGGGTTTGAAACAAGGAAGCAAATCCCCATTAGCTGTGAGTTTGGAGGTGTCCCCTGTGATGAAATTTGGGAATGATAGCCAAAAAAGAGAAATGGCATTACCGCTGACACTGAAAAAACTTGAGTGTTCTTTAGTATAGGCTAACAGGTATTAAATTGTACTTCACCTTGAAGACTAAGTGGAGCGCTTAAAAAACATTTACCGAGAATCTGATTTTTACCACGTATTGTCTATTACTTTTCAGCTCATACAGGAGACTTCTTTTCCGTTATGTCCATGAGAAACAAGTTCTTCTGAGAATTTAACTTGATTATTATTATTTTATCTTTATTTTAAGAAGCCCTTTATACATAAGGGGATGCAGCTGTCATCCTTTCTTATCAATCCTCTTTATTAAAAAGAGAGAGGGGGAAAAATCCCCAAACACCCTTACATGAAACAAGAAAGCACATTCCTCTTTCTTCTGCCTGCTGGATAGAAAGCCTGGGGATGCGCTCTGGGGGTTGTATGTTGTCATTCTGTCAGGACAGCGTGTGAAAGCTGCCCGTGGCCTGCCGTGGCTTAATGGGTTTCCTCAGGCACTTACATCTCTTCTCACTTGTTTTCCAGGAAACCATCAGAGTCAATGTTACGATGTTGAAGACCAATGGAGAATTTCACAAAGGACAGGTTTGTCCGTTTTTTCTGTTTATTCGGTGAACTAATATGCAGCGAAACACAGCCTGCATGTGGCTGCAGATACATGGTTTTGTCTGACGTCCGTCGGTAGGAAGCGTGTTCCTCTGAGAACAGAGCTGTAGCGTAGGGCCAGGAGCCATACACTCATTCTGTCTGTCTTTCTTTCAGGTTGTTTTTAATATCACCTATGTTAATGGACAGGTATATCTAAATGATTTTCCCATGAAAAGCGGGGTTGCCCACATAAGATGTCAAACAGTAGTATGTGAGTATTCTCTCTCTTTTTTTTTTTTTTTTTTTTTTTTTTTTTTTTCCCTAAACCTTCCCTCCCCCATGGTATTTGGCTTCCCTGTTATCTAGTAACCAAAGCTTACAATGACTACATGCTCTCGTACTCTGCAAACCTAGCATTGTAGGAGCAAATAATTTTGCAAGGTAGGATAATTTTGCAAGGTAGGATAATCTTGCTACTAAAATGGGAGGGGGGAAAGAAAAATCTTGACTGCCTCGTTCTCAAGTTGCATTCACATGCCTATATGTAAATGGTCTAATCTGAAACCCAGACTCCACCTATCTTTTCAAAAGAATGTTTTGCACTACAAGCTAGACAATGTAAACAGAAGGATGCAACTCCACCCTGCTAATGGCTGTGTCCTTAGGTTGGTTGGCACATATCCAAAAAGAAATTCAATAACAAAAGTATGAATTGTTGTTAGGAAGATCTTTTTAATTGTCTCACTTCTGTGTCTATTTGGCAAACAAGTTTCTACTAGATAGAACATTATAGCGCAAATATTGCAGTTTTGCTAGAGTCCTGCAGTGGCTAATGACTTTGAATTGTCTTGAAACTGCTGCTTTTTCCACTGATTTAATGCTACACCTTTTGTGAAAGACCAGAAAGTACCATGATTTTTTTTGAGATACACAGAGCATGCTGTATAATTAATTAAACAAGGGCCATTACGTTCATTTGATTTAAGCTTCTGTTGTATTCAGAATGATCTCTTGATGGATCAGGTGCAGTCAGTCTCTAGCTTGGTTTCTGAGGTCATTCTCTCCTTACAATCAGACATTTACTTAGAAAGTACTAATGCTTTTTCTAAATTGCTTCTCTGAGCCATGACCTTGTTTCTTGAACCCTTCCTTCCCAAGCGTGATTAATAATTAATTTGACACTATTTCTCTTCTGAGAACTGCGCAGTTCTGAGAGGGGGAGCAGTAATTAATTTCTCTTTCTGAGACAGTTACGTTCCTATTGCTTCTATTTTTTGTATCCTAGGGTAGAAAAACATGGCAAAACATCATTTTTGTAATTTGTAATTGACTCCAGAAAAATAAATATGATTTTAATGACTAATTCTGAGGCATCAGGAGCACTCTACTGTAGTTCCTACTAATTTCCCAAACCATAGTTGTATAGCTTGCAGTGAATACAGTTATGAACATGAATCTGAAACAGTGAGAAAAATTCTGATTTGACCTGGGAGCTGGGAACCTGGAACTCTCTACCTCCGTGTTTGGGTCTGAGCCCTCAGCACAGTACCTCTCTCTGTCATCTTTTATACTATTTACTTACTAAATCCTTGATGATAGATTTAGATAATGTTTGTAAAATGCTAAAGGAATATTGAGAGACTTGTTATCTGTTAACAGAGGAGAAAAATACTCCTAAATGTATGTAAAAACAACACTTGAGCCAAATACTCACACTCTTTGACTATTAGAGACCAAGTCTCCTGAACAAAAACAACACTTGAGCCAAATACTCACACTCTTGACTATTAGAGTAGAGACCAAGTCTCCTGAATGGTATTGTCTTGACACTGCTGTCAGATCATGCCTGACACCTATATCCCCACTTGAAGTTCTCACAACTGTCAATTTTGGAAGCATGTTTTTCCCTCCTGTTGAATGCAGTGGGGATTGAGCAGCCTGACACATGAAAGGTTGGGACCAGAGGGAGAGTCAGCTACTTGGCATCTTTCAGGCTTTGGTCCTTTAATGTATGCCTGCTGCTGTAAGTCAGAAGACATTCAGCAACCAGGTTAGTGCTCTGGCTCACACCTATAGGGAACCTTTTTCTCACTAGCCTCTTCTTCTCCTTCCATCACTTATTTTCACAGTGGGAGGTAACTGCTAAACGATGCCAAAAAGTACTTTTCTGTATTTAAAATAAGCAAAATAGCTTTAGGAGGAAAGGGGTCATTGCATTAAAGTAACGAACACACAGAGTTGTTACTGTGCAGCTGAAAGACACTAGTCCAGCATTCCCTTGGGCTGCCTCTTAGGCTCAGCACTGCACGTGACACACAGCACCAGTGGCTTAGAAACAGGGGCCAGTTCAGTCGCAGTTCATGTGCCTTGCTCTTTGCATGCTGGACAGATCTGCCGCCTCCGCTCTTGCACTTGTGCAGCACTTCAGTTCTAGCGTGCCCTCATCTGTAGTAGAGGCATCGTAGTCGGGAAAAGGATACTAACTATGCAAAACCACCCAGGGTAGAAAGGCAGTTCTCTGTCTACTTGTGGAATATTAGGTTGTTGAAGTAGCTGAAAGCTTTTGGGTAGGAAGAGAGTTCGAGGCGTCACGGTCGCATGTGAAAACGGGGCCCGGGGGGAGAGAAAACATGTATGAGGGTGAGGGAACTGACACTTATCTTGAATAGAGTATGCAGTGTGTGTGGAAAAAAGCATATTTGTTTCTGTATTGAGAGGAAGGGGGATGTTGTGTGAATTGAGATGTTGACACAGGTGGCTGGCTGGGCTGCAGCAGTACTCTTACGAGCTCCTTTGGACAAGTAAAATAAGAATGCACCAATAGTGAAGCCAAAGAGTGCTGCTTAGAGTACTTAAATGTGAACCTCAAAGGCTGAGATGCAACACTGTCTGCAAGCTCCCTTAGTCTGGGAAATCATACAGTGCTGCTGCTGTCTGCTGTGTTACATCACAAGACCTGCTCCGAGTTTGAGTTAGACACATACTGGTAAAAAAAAATTATGGCATCTGTTTTACCTGTTGCCCAGGTTACTGCTGCTTTTAACAGCAGTTACTGGAAGCGTTAAGGACATCAGCATAGTATAGACTTCTGTACAACTCTGCAGGCATCTCTGTTTTGATGCTAGTGGTCCTCTGCAGTTGTAATGACTTTTCCATTCAGATGCAACTCTGACACAGATGCCTTTGCACACGTAGCAACTGTTTGCCCCATGGTTGTACACTGCTTTCTGGTTGGGTTCGATTTGAGAACTGTGACATTATGTGTTAACAGTGGAGGAAGGAAACTTGGATAACTTGCCAGATCAGCAGCGCCTGGGAACCGTCCGTGTTCGCATCATGGTTCACGAGTGGCCTTTGGCATCCAGTTCCGATTTGCAGCTGATTGTCATTCAGGAACAAGTGACAGAAATTGATGGAAAACAGGTAAACAGCTTCAGCCCCTCCCCCCCATTCTGCTGTTTTTTAATTTAGGAGAGGAAAGTAGTTACCAAAGATTAAAAGGTTTACTTGTATCTGGCTGGTGGTTAAAGCACAAAGTATATAATCTAATGCTAGCTAGCACAGTACCGAGGGAGACAATACCAACCTAAGTTGCCTTTATAGTAGTGAGGGTGATTCATAAGGAGACTTCGCGTTTTAATGCTTCCATTTGTATTTTAATAATTAAGCGTTGGATGACTTTCCCTTAAGCTTGTTAGAATATCATTAACTCTGTCATATGCTCTTTAAACATGTGCATTTGTGCAAGAAAAGTCAGACTCAGAAGCAATACTTAATTTACAAAATAAGGTACAACATAAATAAAAGGGGCATGGGCTCGTTCTGAGTCCTGAGGTTTTCTCCATTGTTTATTCCAAGCTAGCAAAGCAAAGCATTTCAAGCATGTAGCATGGGGAACAGCTTGCAGCAGCAGCAAACTCTTATGGCAGGTGAGCTTCTTGTGAAAGCCCACAACACCTGAGATCTTAGCCTTAGAATATTTTGCATGTAAGATAATTCATTTGAATAAAAATCTTGATAATGAATGCAGATTTAAAGATTAACGGGAAAAAAAAATTCTAACTATTTGCACAAATACCAGTGAATGTGAGGGGTTACAATTCTAGCTGAGCTCGAAATGTGCAGAACTGAGTTCTCAAAATCACCTATAAGGCATAGTAATTCTTCCAGCCAGAGAGGTTCTGGAGGGAAGGCACAGCTGCTGAAGCCAGCAAAAGCGTCAAATTTCTGTTTCAGTACATGTCTGCATCTTACATGTGGCTGGGCTCTGTTGAAGGTGGCTTATGTTCTTCTGCCTTGCAGAATGATGATAATAGCATTGATCCTTCATTAATTGCATGCTCAGCACGTAGTATTTTTTACAGAGAGCTGCATCATGTCAAGATTTTACTCTGTTAATAAAAAAATCCCACTGAGAGGTTTGAAGCTTTTCTATTGAGGTGTTTATCCCACTGTTAGGAGGCGAATGTCCCCTGGTTTGGTTCAGTTGTTACACAATAGTGGTGGTGTATTTCAGATTTCAAACTAGAAATCACAATGCATTTCAAATTTTCATAGGGACCTGGTAAGAACAACCAGAAAGATAATGCTGTTTCCTTAATTGTTCGTTTAAGTCAAGAACTTCCAGTCTTTCTCATTAGTTACCAGCTGACAGTAACGATCATCTGCTTCATTACATTGTTCTGCGCATGTGCGAAGCAAAAGGAGACCGTTGGGTGGCCTCTGGCTCTGAAAGCACGAGCGAAACCCTATCACAGGCTGCATTCCCCTTTTGTTAGTTACATTTCTACGTAGCAGTTACAATCATGGTCACAAACACTCTGGATTTCTGTCAGTTCTTAGCCTCACAATGCAGTTATTGATGTTAGTAGGTGTTATACTGAACGTGTTCTACATAAGCGATGCTTGCAGTGATTCAGTGAAACGGGTCCAGTGCATCACTGGAGGAGGATGAAAGGAGGAAGAAAGCTGTTCTTTCGGTTGTTAGAAAAAAGCAACACTACTGAAAAAGCAGAAGTGTCAGTCTTGCCTCAGCAACACTTTCAATCTTTGCAAGTGCTCTTTCACTACGTACTTGAGTTTTCCATGCCTTAAAACACCTCCTTGAAAGAGGATCATAATGAGCTACATAAGACTTGGTTAAAGGCCGATGGAGTGACTACCACATGCTTCTGCAGGGAGAGAAATATCCAGTCTGTTCAGTGTATTTTCTAATGTGGTATAGTCTATAGAAGTGGGGTAAGTAAAAACAAAGAATACTAATTCATGTTATAACATCCCTACGTCTAACTCTTAATGGCTTGGAGTTTTCTGTGATGTATTCGTTTTCTCTGCCAGCCTACTTTACTCTTACTTTAAATTCAGTAATATCAGCATGTTTGCATCTCTTGCAGGTTCAGCGGGAAGAAGTAACAGAAATAGATATTTTAGTAAAGGACCTGAGTGTACTTAGACATTCAAACTACACTGTCCCTTTGAAAGAGAGCATGCTGTATTCCATCCCAAGGGACAATGACGTGTTATTTACACTTCCCAACCTCTCAGGAAAAGGTATCCCTCTTAGCTGTTGCTTAATATTTTTATCCATAGTTGCTCTATTACTTTACAAGGGTGAAAGAACATCCTTATTCCTGTGTTTCAAATGGTGAACAGTTCCTTCATTAACAGGGAAGTGTTTTGGTTTATGTGGTTTGGGGTTTCTTGTTTTGGTTTGGGTTTTTTTTTTTTTAAAACACCTAAATTCAACTCTTTTACATTCTAGGTATTTTGTTTATTTGTTTTCAAATCTGTTCTCCTTTGAAGCACTTGGTACTTGTCAATCTGCAAGCCAGACATCTCACAGGAATAAATTTTTCTCTCAGTGGAAGTTTCTCTAAAGCTTTCCCGTTTTTCCTGAGAATGAAAGAGAAAACTGGAGAGGAAATACCTGTCTGGGTCACTTCCAAACCAGAGAATAGTTTTCTTATTAAACTTGAATAACTTAAAAGCAAAAGAAGTTATTTGATGCCTTAATCTTATTTCAGTTTTGTTTAATGAAAAACTCTCAAGGATTTCATAGGAGATGAATATTTTGATCTAGTTCATCACCTTTTAATCTGGCACCAGCTGAAATTTACAGCTAAGGGCACAGGTAAAGGCTGCTCTGTAACATTGCTGCTGTTTCTTATCAAGTTCACTAGTCCAGGAAAAAAAAAAAAAAGTCAGCCTTCTGTGTTCTTGCTGTAAATGTGTGAGAACTGTACCGTAAGTATAGAAATGCAGCATGCCTTTGTTTTCCTGAGTAGTGAGTCAAATAAAAAGCAAGCCCCGCACTAAATCTAGCTTTTCTTCTTCAGACATTCAAGATCCACTGCAAACTACCAGTCAGTACCTCATCCGGCAAGTAGAAACTACAGTAGATGAAGAGACATTACCTGGCAAGTTACCAGAGACCCCTCTTAGGACAGAGCCTCCATCTTCTTACAAGGTAGTTTCGGTGTTCGTTTGCTTTAGTTATTAGTATATACCTTTAAAGACTGGTCTAAAAAGGAGAAGCAGGTTTTTTCCCTTCCCTCTGTGTTTTTTTTTTCCTGTTTCCCCAGAGGTGAAACGCATACAGCTTGGTGACATTTCTGGGAGGAGAAGTTGTAGTAACATGCTGCAGGCAGAGCTGAATGTTATTCCATATTACAGTTCGAGGGAATAAACTTCCTTCCCCATTTTTAGTCTTGTCTACAGAAACACATACAAATATTATGTTTTCCTCCTTTGTGGATGTTTACAGAACAAAACAAACCAACCCAGCACTGTTAGGATTCAGATAGTGGGTTTGCCTCATGTAAAGACCAAACTCAACATCCATTAAGATGGTGAGAAGGTATGTAACATTCCTAGGGCTTTGTCTTTGGTCTTTTAATTTTAAAAAAAAAAGCAACATAGTGTGTAATAACTCATTTCTGGAAGAGAGACTCGCCATTCCTACTTAACCTATTATTGACTTCTTGGAGTTCTGTTATGCTGATTTGTATTTGTTAAAGACCAGGATTTTCTATTGTGTGAGGTATCTGACAGTAACTGACTTCCACAGAAGTCTTAAGAAATCCCCATGGCCAGCCACTGAGAAGAACAGGCTCTTACAGACATACTCTAGAAAAACTTAAAAAAAAAAACAAAACAAAACAAACCCCAAAAACCAACCTAAATTACCCCTTAGCAGTGAGAAATTGTTGAGCCTTTTTTATTCCAGTAGGAATCAAATGGGTTTCTAAATCCTGCAGTGTTCTGACCTCACAGATACTTGTGACAGTGAGTTGTCATAGTTACATTATACCACGCTAAGCATTTATAACAATTTTAAATATCATTTAGCTTTAAATTACATAATTTTTTTCTGACTCTGCTTAAGCACTTACCCCTCTGGGAGACGGGCCATTGGTCTCACCTGATGTAAGAAACACAGTAATAGCTCGAGAAGTTTCAGTTCCAGATTAGGTAAGGATGGGCTTGATGGCCTCCTCGGTGGCTGAAAGAAACACTTCATAGCCTACCGCTGGGACAGGAGGGCCAAAATAGTATGGTGAAAGCTACAGGTAGGCTAGAGAAGGTGCCACCCCTCTCCCAGGCTGCCCACAGCCCTTTCCCTGCTGTACACCACCATGCTATCGTAGCTTCTCTATGCCTAGGCCAGATAGCTCACCCCACACCTGCTCTGTTCAAGTGTTCTTTATTTGCCAAAGCAGCCTTTCTTTTCAGGGAACTCTGCTGGGATGAGCAGAGAACTAAACCTTCCAAACTTTGTAGAAGAAAGAGGTCTGAGTCACCAGTCAATTCTATCCTGCTTTTATGTGTGCTTAAGCATGCATAAATTGAAGTAAAACTATCGCCATGTAATGTGATTCACTGGTAGCTACAAAAACTGCAGTTGCTATGTTTTGCAACCTATCTTTTTATTTTTACCTGTTTGGTTGTAGGTGATGTGCCAGTGGGTGGAAGACTTGAGAAAAGGGTTGTGCAGATTCTGGTTTCAATCTTTACCCATCTTCTTTAGTTTGATGGAAGTCATTGTAGTTGGAGTTGTTGGAGCAGCTCTTATTCTCAAAGTCTTAAAGGTGATTTTCCCTTCCTGTGAAAACAAGTAAGTAATTTTTGCTCTTTTTCTTCTTTTTTTTTTTTCCTCTGATAAAGGCAAAACATTGACTAAAAGGTCTTTGGGGAAGCAGCCCCATTCAGGTGCAAGAGCCTGACTAAGGACCTCCTGACAGTAGACTGCTTCAAGCTAGTACGAAATTGAACCCATAGAGCCTATGCTGCTGATATTTCAGATGTAGCAACTGGGTGAAGCGACCCCTCTGAAACTACAGCTGGGTACCTTTGGAACCAGTTTTTCATCAGGTTTTCACTCTAGCTTCACAAAAGAGGCATTATGAGGGTAACACTTGCTGCACTGCTTTAAACTAAGCTTGGGGAGTTTAAGAACAAATCTAATTTTTAGAACACAAAATTGTTTTGTAGATCACTTTCTAACGCCAGGTAATCTTACCTTTCAGAGGCATCCTTCTTCTGGATCAAGTCAGCTTTGTACCTGTGATTACCATCAGCTTGCCTTCAGATCTTCCAGACAGGAAAAATAATTTAGATGAGAAAGCATGCACTTAATGCTGTGTTTGCCTGGGAGTTACTGTTTTTTAAAAACCAAATTTTTAGTTGATCTGAAATTTGGCACTTGAACTTAATACTTTGTTTCCTACTAAGAAAACTAAAAGTCAGTTGATTAATTGGTAAAGGGACACTCCCGCTGAGGCCCAAAACTGACTTCCCTGTGCCTCTCTGTAAACACGCAGCCTTTTCAGGAGCTTCAAAATAAAACAGCTTTCCACCCTGAGGGCTACCATTGGTTTTAACTTCTGTGAAGTCACTTTTCCACACCTCAGACAGGATGCTGTCTGCCTTCGCGCCCATAGGTAAACCAGCCCAGCTATCCTGAATAGCAAGATGATGAAATTCAGGGTGCCCCGAAGTCTCCAGATAGCATTCCTCAGCAAAGGACAAAGGAGTATCACAAACATTCTCCGTGCCTGCAAGCCTAAACAAAGCTGCCCAACCTGGTTTTGGGTCTGTTAGGGTTGAGCGTGCCTTGCAAGGAAAATACCACTACCAAACATTCATGTTACTCAAGTAATTTGACGTTTCATATATGCAAAACAAAAACTTAAAAGGCAGATTTGTATTTCAAGGACTTTACACTTTTATGGCCCCTTCCACTCATAAAAAGCATCAGCACTTGTAAGCGATGTGCTTTTTGTATCTGTGACAGCAGTGCTATGTGAAGTCTCAAAGTTAAAAAGAAAATTCAACAGAAGTACTGGCTTACTACTGCTAAGTAGGCCTGGTCTGCCCATGCTGATTTGTACTGCTCACATTTTTCAAATAAACATTTAAATTGTTTATTAGACTGTGTTCATGTGCGCATCTATATTTAATTACATAAAACAGCAGCGTGCCAAGTGTGTTAGATGCAGGCTGCTATTTGTCTTTTAGCTTTTCATTGTTTTTATTTACAAAAATTGTTTGTCATAAGAATGACCAGAGGAAAAAAAACAAACCAAAACCTAAACTACCTGGCATTAGACTGAGCAGAGTTATCATTTGAGTGATCAGAATTATCCATGTTCAGCTAAGTTGGTACAGCAAGGGAAGACAGCCAGGGTTTCTAACACACACCTACCTCCAACCCCCTAAGGAAAGATTATCATATGTTTAACGAGATCTCCAGGTTATTCAGAGACGTGTCCTTGCAGCTGGTCTGGGACAGGAGCAACTCAAGAGTTGTCTCAATAAACTGACAGCACTGCAGGGGTAGAAGAAACGTTTCTAACACTGAACTGCTTTGAATAAAAACCAAAACAAAAACCACTGCCCAGCAGCGCAATGTGGTATACATCAGCAGAAGGTACAGGGACACCACTCCCACTTCCTTTTTTTTTTTTTCCTAAATCAGATTTTATTTTTAGCACTTTGTGGGTTTGTACTTTGCATTTACTTCCTCAAGCTCAGTGTCATGAGAAGGTAGGCTCCCACACGCTTGCCAGATAGATACCTGGCCAGGGAAGGACGATGGAAGTGGGGGGGGGTGTCACAACTGGTCGGGTGCTTCAGGCAGGCGTGGAGCTGTGAAGCACCAGAGCAGGGCAGCAACACTGCTGGGTCCGAAACGAGCAGCGATGAGCGACACCCCTGCAGCCCCGAGAAGCGCTTTCCGGGACCATAGCGCACTGCAGGAAGGCTACTGTAATGGTGACACAACCACACGAGACAGTGGTGATGCTAAAGCTCGAGCGGCATCTGAAGTGAAAAGAAAACTCATGGCCGAGGGGCGGTTGTCATCCACGGCTCCGGGGAAACTGCTGAGACTCCAACAACAGACCAGGCACGGCGGCTGCACAGGCAAGAGCAACTGTTGAAGCAAGTCTTCAGACCATTGTAGACAAACTCCTCTTCCATGTATGCGGAAATTAATGTTCTTTCCACTTTATGAACATAGCCTAATTATTCATTAGCATAGTTCAGACAGAAGTGAGGCTGAAGTGTGTAAGGCTGAAGTTTCGCTTCTTG